GAATAGAGGGTGTGGGAGGGCGTAAGGAGTGGGTGGAGACTCGTGTGAAGTATGAACACTGACACGGACTGCTTCCGTGCTGTACAGTCTGTGTTAGTTTCAACGTGCCACTTACACACCCATTCTGAACGTCTGTTCATCTCCCTGCATCTTTTTTTGCAGTCTTGTTCATTATTCGTTACACCCACCCCCAGTTTTGGTGTCATCTGTGAATTTCGATACTCAGCCTCTTGTGTCTCAATTTAAATAATTTATGTACATTGTGAACTGTGGCGTTACTTTACGTGAATCCGATCTCTGTGAACACCACTTCCGGCTTCTTGCCAGTCTGACAAGCTGCTCTTTTTTCCTACTCTGTTTTGTATTTTCTAGCCATTAATCCATTCACATTGCAGGTTATAAACATATATTTTTGGCTGAGACTATCTGCCTCTCCGACATGTTATGCTTATGTGACCTGTAGAGCATTATGATCAGATTTGTAAATAATAGTCAAAAGGCAATTATTTTTTGACCAGCAGCATTTTACGTCAAAAGAATATTCACTCACAGTTTTAAAAAGGTTGACATGAACAATGAATCATTTTTTCATGTTTATTTGTTTTTTTAGGGCAGATTATCTTCTTGTTTGTCAGCTATTATAATTGTTATAATTATTAATCTGTTGAGTACATAGATACTTTGCCACTTTCAAAATGAATGCGGTCTTGAACATATAACATATACAAAAATGCCCTTTCTGGATTTCTGGAGTGAAATATTATAAAATAGAATTATTGAATAATGTGAAACATTTATTCGTTTACAGAAAAGTATGTTTTCAATAAACTAAAATAAATGTAATCTGTTTTTATGAATATGAGTATCATATGTAAATCTATGAGTTATAATAATATAACAATAATCCTTGCATTTGACAATAATCCTTGCATTTTCACGTCTTCTCGACGTCTCAAAGCGCTTCACAGAATAGACTGTAAAGTGAATTCACCGTATATATTTTTTTGTGTGGGTGAAACGCGGCAGCCAATTGCACACAGCAGTGTCCCACAAACAGTCGTGGATTGAAAATGACCAATTTATTATTGTTTTGTTTTGGGAGGGATTATTATTAGGTGTGTGGAGTAAGGAAACTTGCCCAAGGTTTCACCCTCTGCCTGGAATTGAACCCAGGTGTCTCGCTTGCAAGGCGAGTGCTCTAACCACTAAGCTATAGGACTCCGGGTATTATACCTCAATAAAAGACAGTGAATTATTTTTCAATGAAACACCCTCTCCTCACATGAAAGTCCATACATTTTGTAACCTCCATATATATTAGCCTGGGTCAGTCGGTGGCACTTACACCTCTGTATCAGAAGGTTATGGATTCAAGCCCCATCAACATTGGGACTTGAAACTGATCGCGTCTAAGATGATACTCCAATGCAGTGTTAGGGCAGTGCTGCATTGTTGGAGGTGCCGTCCTTCAGATAAACCAAGGCCCTGTCTGTCTGTTCAGGTGAATGATAAAGCTCCCATGACACTATTCAAAAAGAGAAGGTGGTTTCTCCCAGTGTCCCGACTGACAATCCTCCAGATAAAAATTGGTTATTCAATTGAAGGTTGCTTGTGAGACTTTGCTGTGTGCAAAGTTCATCCACAAAATACACAATGATACACTTTAGAATAAATCTCGTGAAACGCTTGGAGGTATTTCGATGAGTGTTTTCTTTTCAAAGTAATTACACTAGATATAGAAAAAACCTTCTGACCTACTTTCATGAGGTTGGATGGTTTCAGATTGGCTCCGAGGCCTATCCACAACTCCAGAGGAGGTACAATGTAAAAGAGAGAATTGCTGGCTACAGGAAAAACCCTGTGTTATGACGGTATTCATTTTATCACCATAGTGGGAGGATTTTGTCCTTAAGTCTGTCAGTCTGGCTCAGTTGGTAGCACTCTTGCCTCTTGAGTTAGTAGGTTGTGGTTTTAAAGCCCAATATTGAGATTATGTATGTACTAAAAACAAAGTTCTGTCTCCCTATTCCCTTTGGATCTTGATGAAAATTTTCTTCTGAATGTGATCAAAATATACTTTAAAAATCCACTTTGAGATTTTGAATGCTGGTGGTTGGTTTAACGGCTGCTTTGCCAGTGTGTCCGGAACACTGATTTTTAGAAAATTGAGATGCCTTTGATAAGTACAAAATATAAGATTGTAATTAATTTGTTCACAGCCTCAGTAACCTCCTTGTTTTACTGGCATTATAATGATGGTTTCAGGGCTTTTTGTGTTAGAACGTGGGACAAAGCTGTCTTAAGGTTTAATCAGGTCCCTTCTTGCAACAAAATGGAAGATGAAATGTTCATTAGATCTACCATATTCTGGTAATGTGTCTAGGCACACGGCGCAGCCTCTGAGCTTCTATGCTTGTTCTAGGAATGCAGACTTTTAACACACATTAATGCCAGCTCCTTTGCAGATTGAATCAAGTGATTTGATTAATCATATATAAAATAATGCAAATAAAATCAGGGTGCCATGAGCAGAAAACAAATTTGGTATGGGTGCATTTATCACTTCGTATAGATGTATGCATCTTTTCACTTAGATTATAGGGGTTATGAACAGGCCAGAACTGTCGTATGATATACATTTGTCTTTGTGAAGCATGTTAATTCATTGGCTGCTGTGCATGTTTCATGGTAATTCTGTATGCATTTGATTTGTTTGTGAAAACACATTGCAAATGTTTCCTGATTCCTGGAACATTGGCATGAAACATTGGATTATAAATTGCACATATTGGTTGCAGTGAGGATTATGCACTGATTTTTATAAAGCCTATTGGAGTAAGCGTAAGGCATATTGAAATGAGTACTGCTATTATTGGTTTATGGTTGTTTCATTTCCACCTTGTTTATTTTTTTACGCTTCTTTGAATTACTCATATTGAAATGAGCATCAAACACAATGCATCATTGCTTTTATACTGTGGATTTTGTTTGTTCCGGCTTCTGTACGGCATTAAAAATGCATCTGTTCCCATAGTGGAATCAAATTCAAAGTGACAGCTTTGTGTAAAGATTTAATGTTGTGTGGTATTCAAAATGAATTAGTTCTGACCATTTCATTATCCCTTGTGGAAAAAAAGTGAGGCATTCTGTTCATTCACAGTCTTATCTACTTTATTTGCTGATACTGAATAGATTATTGAATCATGGCTATTCTGTTTTCTGAGAGGGTGGGTATTAATGTGCGGTAAAAGCCTGCATTCCGAGAATAAGTTCAACTGCCACAGCTCAATAGTTACATCATTATCTATTTACTAATCGTCAAAATGAATGTTTTATGCCAGAATGAGGGACTTCAAGCTGATTGAAGCATTGAGCGATTTCTCATACTTTAATCAGCCATCTTCTGTTCCAGCATAGCACTGTGGTGTTCATTGTAAGTGAAATTGATTTGTGTACATTTGTATTATTATTGTACGTGTTCTCAGCAAATACATTTGTAAGTAAGCAGTCTTTTCCTTTGGGGGAAAAAAAACAGATTAAAAAATGTAAAATCATTTTAGCCCGTTTCATCTTTAGTGCTCGCAATGCAAAATAAATGTTTTGAAAATAAATTTAGTATTTTAAACAAGTATAAATTTAGTAAACGTCAGTAAAATAAGATGTTTGCATTTATCTGCAAATTATTTTCTCGCCATTCAGCTCTATTCCATTATAAATTTAACAAGCTGGGTAAGGTGGTCCATTAGCAAGCCCCCTGAGTGGCACTTGTGAGACAAGTTTGTATTTTACAAAATAGTTCTGCTGTCAGCGTCTTTCTCTCTCCCTCTGTCTTTTTGTCTGCCTCTCAATCCTCCTTTGAATGGCGATCATTTCAATTCTTACCCCCTTTTAATGTCCTGTCGCACTTTATTTTTAAACAACACTGTTGCTTTAATACCTGCGGTGACCTTGCAGTTTCGAAAATGGCAATAAAGAAAATCTACACACGAACATGTAAATGACCATTGGGACAGCTTTCTGTCTACTTCAAAGTGCTTTATGTATTTATTTATTTATCATTCAGTCCGTTATCTATGGGAGTGCAGTATGTTGCGATGAGAAGCATCATGGCTAACAATTGCGGGAAATAACATTCTCCACTCAGAAATCAGCTGCTATAACCACAATTCAGCACCTTAACTCAAGACCCTCTTCTTCCTTTTTGGCCACTCTCCAACCCTCCCTGCCCTCCACTCTCCCTGATCTAACCTCCCCCCTCGCTCGGGTCTAAACCCCTGACTTGTCCAGCGCCTTGGGACGTCCTCCTGATGTAAATGGCGCTAAACAAATGTAATTTTGTCTTGGATTAACAATGCTGCAGTTTCGTGCTCTGAGTGTGTCTTGTATCTCCATGTTTGGAAAGGGACAACCACGAGTTTGCGTGTTAGGCTGATTATGTGCTACAATGCTTTTTTTTTTGGCAAATCCTATTTGTAAATAAGTTGAAGTAACCGCATTTTGGTAGCTCTACATTGTCGGATGTGCCATCTTCTGATGAGGCTTTAGACCAGTGTCTTCCCTGCCTGTCCACGGTGAATATTTCAAGCACTTTTCAAAATGTGAAGAGAGTTTCTCACAGTCAACAATCACCCAGACAACAATTGATCATTCATCTAATGACTGTTTCTGAGACATTGCTGTGCACTCATTGATAACCCGCTCTCGGTTACAAATCTGCAGTTACTACACTTTATGTAGATACTCTGAAGCTTTTAGAGGCATATTATTTATACTATTAATTGGTTTGCCCGCCCAATAATGGCATTAACTGCCGTCTTCCACCCACCAATGGAAAATTGTTCCTGCCACCTTCAGAATTGTGACTGTCAGAAATGAGAACTCATGTCAACAGCAATCGAGTGAGTCTGACTCTCATTACAAACTGACTGTACAAAGTGCTTGCTGCACATATTTTAGCAATTTTAGCTGTTTCAATTGTATCCTTTTTTTTTAACCTCCAGATTGAACTGAAGCGGAAGTATAATGACCAGCATTCACAGACCCGAGGTCTGCTTCGTGGTAGTCAGTGGTATGATATTCAGGCGTTTCGAGCATTGAACCAAGCACTGGGCAGGTAAGTAATGGCAGACTCTCTTCCTCGGGGGGGTAGGTAAGCAGGGGTCTCCTTGGAGCAGAACTGGCAGAATTAGGAGTTAAGCTACAAGGAAAAGGCCAGGTAAATGGGACCGTGAAGTTTGCTCTTAAAAGAGCCAGCACAAACACAATGGGCCAAATGGCCTTCTTCTGCTCTGTAAATTTCTGTGGTTCAAGGGCACAGCCTGCAAGGCAGGAATTAGAAAAACTGAACCAAATTGGTTGTTGTTCCTGGTTGAAATGTTATTTGTAACTCAATATCATTTCTATTATATATGCAGGAAATCTGTTTTGATGATATTTCATCAAAGAAAATGTGTTTTAAAATGTGAAAATAACATTCGGTGTGTTACAAAGGATATCTAAATTCATAGAAAATATTTCTAACAAATATAATTGTATTTATTATAGGTGCATCCGACATAAGAATGACTGGGGAGCACTGATCCTGGTTGATGATCGATTTAGGAATAATCCAAATAGATACATAAATGGTAAGACTCTGTGCTTTTAGTTTTCCCCAACGAGGACAAATTTAACTCAGCTTGTCTGCTCACGATTTACTTTCAGTCTTTCTGCCCCCACTCTCTGGAACTCCTTCCCACTGTCCCTTCGCCTCACCTCTTCCCTCGTCTCCTTCAAGGCCCATCTCAAGACCTTCTTCTTTGACCGCGCCTTTGATCAACTTCCAATCCTCACCTTACTTCTGTCCTAAGAAGTTTCTTTGAAACTCCCCACCAGATCTGCTACTTGTAATAATGCCCTTGAATATTAGACTCATTAACACGTGGTCTTCTCATTCTGTGTCATTTGTTTGAAAATTTGGGTTGAGAGGAGAAGAATTTTTTCAATTGGAAAACATTTTAAAAAGTACAAACGTATTGTTTTCTGTTGAAATAACTGAGTAAAACCAAACGGCTGTGCTCAAAGGATTGTATAAATATTGTGAATGTCAAATTCCTGCCCTTTTGTCACTGGATGGTGCTAGAGCTCTGTTTAATTGCGGGAGGTAATACCGAACAGCTGTTTGCTGGGACGTGACTCAACCTTTAACATTTTATTTGTGTTTTATTTTTAAGTAAATCTGTGTTTGCATGGCAATGCAGCAAAATTTAAACAAAAATAAAAAGTTACAAACGGTGTATATGTGGTGTCAGCCTGGGTCTGTGTCAAAACTCTCTCCCCGCTGGCTCGGAAGGTTGTGGGTTCAAGCCCCACTTTGGGACTTGGAATCACATTAGTCTAAGCCAGTGTGGTCCAACTGGCAGCCCGCGGGCCACATCTGGCCCGGGTGCAGTGATTTCATCCGGCCCGTGAACCATTTCCAACTTCAAATAAGCAGTCAATTCACTTTACAGTATATCCTGTGAAGCGCTTTGAGACGTCTCAAACACGTGATAAGGTGCTATTTCAAATGCAAGCATTATATTACTGTGCGACCAGCAAATTACAGGCCACACGCAGACCCCCGAGCCAATCAGGAGGTGGTCACCAGGAGTCAGGTTCTGCCCACAATAGGCCTGGTGAATCAGGATAACATGTTACTCATGCAGCCCGTGGATGTTTCTCAAATCATCCAAGGGTGACACATCGTCTTAGACATTACATACTACTGATTTGATGGCAAGAAGCCGAATGCTTATTTTCTGCTGATATGAAGGTTTGCATTTTTTTTATTATTAATTTCGAAAACTTGTCTAACACACAGGGCTGTCAAAGTGGGTTCGTCAACAGGTCCACCATCATCCAGACTTCAGCAGTGCTTTACAGTCATTGGCCACGTTTTCCAAAGCTCAGCAGGAAGATGTTGACACTTTGCACAAGAGTATTAACAAGGTGCTTGATGTAGCCCCAGTAGGTGAAGGTGAAGGCTTGCTGAGGACTCCAGTTGTTCAGAACAAGGATCTCCAATCAGAGATTTCCAACGCACAAGTTGGAATCATTAGTCCGAATTGCACCCTGCCAGGTGCTAGCACGGCAAGCCGCAAGTTTAATGCTGATATTATTCCTCCACTTCCTTCCTGCAGTTCCGATACAATGAGATCTGTGGAAGTACCAGGTTCGTATTAAAAAACAATACAAAAATAATTTCAATTCAGTGTTTTTTTTTTGTGAGCCCTTGGAGAAGAGCCTTGACATTATCCCTCCTAACCGCCAGTAGTGGTGTGGCATTGATGGCAGGTAAAGGTGTCTGTCTCATATTATCTTCTACAGGGTGATGATTCGTGTGAGGAGCGGGATAGATCACTCTGTTTAATTCACCTGTTTAACTGAATGTTTCAAATTTTATACTAGTCAAGAATCTTACCCGTGGGAGGATGATGAAAGGGATAACAATACAACACACAATTACATTTGTATAGTGCCTTTCACGTCGGGAGGACGTCCCAGGGCGCTGGACAGTCAGGGATTTGGACTCATCTTTTACCCTGAACATTCGAATGGGAAACTAATTTTCTATTTTGCATTTGGTGTAAATTTATAAATTGTTCAGCTTTAAAATTTTTTAGTCTGCATCTTTACACATCTGTTTAAAATAGTAATTCCTAAGTTTGTTCGGATAAAAAAGCGACAAAACCTATTCATTTCATGGCTTTGGAATAATTATCGTTTGACTTGCAGGTCACCAAAACGACGATCCTCCTACAATCGTAATGACCAGGACTCCGCTCTTCAGAAATTCTCGTGTCCCAGGGAAAGGTGGAAACATCGGTAACACAAAATCATCAACAACTATTATGCAGTATTTCAATAAAAGGCCTTTGACTTCAACCCCTATACAGACACCACCACCACAGTCCCACATATCAACTGTTGACCTCACTCAAGATTACGCTGATGATTGGAATATTCTGTGTAACTCTGTTAAAAATATTCAACAAAAAACGGAAAGAACTGCATCTCACTGCAATGGACTGTCAGAGAAAAATCAAAATTCAGCCGCAATAAATATCACAGAGAATATATTGTTAAATGTAGTAAAATGTGAATCTCAGGAAAAACAAATCATGTACGACAGTATAGGGAATTCTTACAATAGTTCTACGTCTGAGTCACCCTCTTCCGTTTCGGATTCAGTTTGTGAGTGTGAGGCCGAGGTAATAGATGAAGAGGAGGATAATGAGAAGGATGATTCATTGTTTTTTACTCCCGAGCTTTTTGATGAGGATCCAGAGGAAGACTATTTAATGGAAGCAAAGCAAAGTAGCCCCCAGATAGCTGATGGTACTGCTCTTGAACCTGAGAGCGTAGAAACTGATAGTGCCAAAATGTTTCAGAGTACCAATGGAGAACCCGTTCACCTTGACAGGCCAGCAAGATCCAATGAGAAAGATATGGCGGGCTCAATTATCAGAGGGGATTATCTGTATCCCCACCCGCAAGCGAAAGATGACAATGTGCCTAAATTAACTGTACTGATAGATAGTGAGGAGGCTGCCAGCTCACATTATCAGCAAGTGGATGAGCCAGCAGAAACTGACCAAAAACTATCAAAGAGAAAACATAGGCTGAGCAGATCGAGAAATAAAGGTACAGGTGTGAATTCTGAGAATTGCTATATTAAATGAAGCCAGCAACTGATTTGATCATGGTTGACTCTTCCTGTTTTAAGAACAATTTACAATAAGTAATAATTATTATTATTAATGCCTATTTGTGTACTCAAGCATATTGTTTATTAATTTCTGCCTTTTTTCACCCACGAAATATACAGTCAATTCACTTTACAGTTTATTCTGTGAAGCGCTTTGAGACGTTTTGAAGCTGTGATAGGGCGCTCTATCAAATGCAAGGATTATTATTATTTTTCTCCTTTGCTCTTTGAACGTTAGTCATTTTTAGAACAAATTCTCAACATCATAGAATAGAAAATGTTGACAAAAAGTTGATCGGAATCTGAAGAAATATAGGTCATATCAGAATAAACTACCTTTGCTGTCTGTATCAGTCAATCTATTTTTTTACAGCAGTGTTTTTTTAAGAAAGCTAAGCACTACGTACCAGTATTTTAGCTCCAATGAAGTTCCTAAAATATCAGTCAGTGGTTCTCAGTGACCATTTACATTGAAAGAATATAACTTATTTGCTCAATGTTATCTATATATTAAAGTGCTTTAAATATTCATTGGCCTCAGACATTAGTTGTGAAAACAAGTGGGTAAGTGGGTAAAATAATTGGTAGAGTAATTTCTTACGCTTAAAGTTTTGTATATGGTTTATAAGTGAAATACGCTGTATAAATGCAAGTTGTTGTTATGTGGTTCTTTGTTTTCTGGGTTGTATGTTTTATTTCTCATTTTGGAGATCCTGAAAATGTTAAAAAGTAATGTAATCTCAGTATCTATGTGACTTGTACTTAGTCAAATGTGATAGTCTTACAGAAACCTCCTCTTCTGCCCCTCTGTCTCTCTTTCTCCGCCCTCCCCCCTAACCCCCCCACTGTAGAGAATCACAAGTGCCGTACCCTTCCACAGTGCAATAATGTGTGGTTCCAAAATGCTCCATGAATTAAACCTTTTCAAATGTCTACTACCTTGTTGGACCACCTATATATTTAACCCTGTAACCACAAAATTATGATCGTTCTTATAAATAACTTTTATTAAATATCAGTTCTGATTGATTTATTTTGTAAGCTGAAACTCACACCAAGATCCTTTGCGAGCATAGATTTGCATAAATTTGTTGTCAAAAAGCTACAGTATTTGTATTTTTTTCATTTCGCCCACAAAGTACACAGTCAATTTATTTTACAGCATATTCTATGAAGTGCTTTGAGATGTCTCAAAGACGTGATATGGCACTATATCAAATGCAAGGATTATTATTATTATATTTTCTTTTCTCAGGCATTAATAATTCATCGGCATTGTCCAGATGGAATCACCAAAGTGATAGCCCCAACATGGAGATTAGGACAGTATCAAAACTTTGCGTCCCGAAACAAGAAATCAGTTCAGTCTGTTCTGAGAGAGAACCTAGCCATCGAAAGCCTAGTGTACGTCCGAGAGATAGAAGGAAGGTTATGGAGCATGCTGATGTTGAAAGTCGAATGAACAAGCACAAAGATTGTACAAAGAGATCAAATAAAAATAAACAAAGTCGAAAACACAAGGATGATTTTTTAAAATGGAATGATCTTTGCAAACAAAACAAAAGCAAAAAACACAAGCCAAGGTATGCGGTGGGTGAAAAAGCCACAAAGTTCAACATTGTCCAGGAGGCAAGTGTGGAAATGAATAACAATAAGGAAAATGTAGTGAAACGAAAGCCTGTTTTATCGAAGGTGAGTGATTCCACAATAATTCAAAATACTGGAAGCTCAAAGACAGACAGTCTAGATTTGATTATGCCGAGTTACAGCTTAAGAAGCAAACGTGTGAAAATACTCCGCAACAGATATAATCAAAGCACAACTCGGGTAGAAAAACAAAACCAATTAAACGATGATCAGATTGCTGAAGGAAAGGACACTTCACATAGTAAAACATCAACCAAAGCAGTCTTTTTCAAGCAGCGCAGAAATAAGTTTACAAAACCTTATAAAATACGTGCGTTAGACTCTAAACAATCGACAAAGAACAAAAGAGGAGCAAGATCTAAGATTGTTAGCGCTCAGCTGTTGGCTGGCTGTATGCAGCAAGGGGAAGAATGTCATGGAAAGACCAAAGCTGACAGAGAGACAGCACCCACAGTCCAGTTTGAAGTACTAATGGTAGAGGAATATCCTTCTCCAGTGCATACGGCTTTTTTACAGTGTGAAAAGGATACAATAGATACTTCGGGGATAGGTGTCCAGGGGAATGCACACTCTGAAATGTTGGACTGCCTGCCCGAAATTGGAAAGGCGAGCGCATCAGACAATAAAATGAATCCAATTTTCTACCAAGGGAACAATGCATCAGTTGTAGAGAAAGAGAATTCAGAACTTAATTTACCAACTCTCACAAGGTTCATCCCTGATACAAAAATCGGTTCAGGTAAGGAAATTAGCTGTAGGTAGCTCTAAATATGTGTGTGTATATATGTATACAGGCGACCCGTAAAAGGTTAATAACATGGGTTAAATAGATATCCTGCAGATTTTCTTGACTTAGAAGAACAAAAATGATACTTCCCTCAGGTGATTATCAGGACTGGGTAGAGTGTATGATGGAGCAGGTCATCCATGATCTAAGGAAACACCTTAATAAAGTGACTGGTCTTTTAGACTTTCTTATCAATAACCCATCTTGTTGTTCCAGGGTTAAAGATAAACACATCACGGAACAGAAATAGTTACCGAAAAGCTAGAGGGAAGAAGGTTAGTCAAAAAAAGAGGATTCCACGGCATGATCTGGTAATAACTGATTTTTACTGACAGTAAAACATTTCAACATGTCATTCCCACTCACTCTTCAAATTGGTGGGTGAGCTTTCAGCCACTCTGCCCCTGCTCTCTGGATCTCTTACTCCCTCCCTTTCTATTTTCAAAACCTGCCATAACTTTATCTCCTTGAAAGTGCTTTTGGCCACCTTTCTCCTCTTACCACCCCCCACCCCCCCACACCCAGCTCGGGCTCCCAAGGGGTGTGAAGCACTTTGAGATGACATTGCAATGTGAAAGGCACAATGTAACATGTTGTTATTTAAGGGTTTGTTTTCTCTGTTGGTAAATTATAATTGATATCTTAATCTTAAGAATAATGGATACCTAGAATTCATAACAAATCAGTCATATGATCATGCAGAACAGGCTCAAAGGTTTCACAACTTGAACCCCAAGACCCCAAACCATGGCCATAAATTCAATACCTGGTATTTCTGATTTAATTTTAATGCAGTTGCTTTATTTCCCTTTTTGGTCTGTCTCTAAGTTAGTAATTGACTCTCAGTGTCACTTGACCCCAAGACGTGTTTACTGCAACTGCTGCTTTGCAGTGATTAACAGATTATCAAAGTCAGCCTAGATTGTATGTTAATACATATGATTTATGTTCATATTTCAGAAGGAGAAGCAAGGACTACAGCCATGCCAACTTGGACTGTATTGTGTGTCCTGTGGTTCTGAAATATTCGCAGACGCCCCAGGTAAGATCAACAGCCCAATGGCAATCTGAAATGAGTAAGAGCTATTTGGTATCAAAGGGAATCCTCACATCCAATAATGTTTCAGACACCTGGCAGTTATCACAGGCAATGGTTGTACAACAGCCTTGGTCCTGGAATCGATGGTAGAGGCAAAGAGGTAGAGTTGGGTATCATATATCAAATGCAAAAGTTATTATTATTGCTGTGTACATGTGGAAATGACCTGTGGGTGATGTCACCAGGTGGGGCATCGAAAATGTTTTTATGAAATGTACCTTAAAATCAGCATTGGAAACAGTGCCTTGGGATGTCCTCCCGATGTGAAAGGCTGTACACAAATGTAATTTTATATTGTATTTTGTATTGAATGCATACTATCTTGTTCTTTAAAACAATAATAAATTGGTCATTTTCAATCCACGACTGTTTGTGGGACGCTGCTGTGTGCAATTGGCTGCCGCGTTTCGCCCACAAATATACGGTCAATTCACTTTACAGTCTGTTCTGTGAAGCGCTTTGAGACGTCGAAGACGTGAAAAGCGCTATATCAAATGCAAGGCTTATATTATTGTTTTGAAGTTGATCCTGTGCCGGGGCCCAATACAAACTTTGCCATATGTTTTAACATACGTGAGGTTTGTTTACAGGCTTGCTGGTGAGAGCTCCCTGTAGGAGTAGCAGTATTGCCAAACTGAAGACAATCTTCCAAAACACAACTAGAAAATCAAAGATTCCGAACCTCCGTTGCTATTGTCAAAATCAACCAGCCCAGGCCACAAACTCGGAGGACATTCTACTAGTTGTGGAAGACGAAAGAGGAATTTCTTACCTTAAGGAAAGAACACAACCCTACGAAGCCACAATAATCAGCAAAGGTATGAAAACAGTCAAACCTCACATTATAAACTCATTCATTTGCAACAGACTCAGTCTTCTGTTATTGTGTAAACAATGCGGATTTCTAATAAGATGATGTATGATAAAATGTAATTGCTAGTTGATTTTACTTCTAGCTAAATCAATTAGCCTAATTATGGAATAAGAAGTCAACAGTTAGAAATATGTCTCATTTCTCAAAAGAATGATTCCGCATTTTAGATTGTCCAGTATGGTATTTTAGAATGGAAATTCTTACATTTCCTCTATTTTGAAACATTTTTTCTCCAAGTTCTTTTAAGACTGAAAATGTAATTTAAAAAAAAAGTCTAAATTCAACAATGAATGCTGTATAAACAGAGTAAATCTAGACTCGTGTAGAAATTCTTCTACTTGTCTATTTTTGGACGTATTGTTTAAGAACTGTTATATTAACCCTTTGTAAAATTACTCAAATCTCTTTTGTAAATATGAAATGAGCAATAGCCAGAATTTCGATGTCTCAGCACTGAATGTCGCAGTTTTTGTTTTTCTGTTCTTAAAAGGACCTCAGCAGACTGGACTAACATTAAATGCCACATGGAATTCTCAGGAATCTTCTCTAACCACCTACTTACAATGCAGAAACTGTGTCAGTCAACTGACTCCTCACTGTTCATTGATAGGTGCTGAAATAATACAGCTAAAAAATGTTCCTCAACCAAAGGTAGGGAATTCACATTGAAACTACTGAAGGAAACCTGGCGATCAGTTATACCACTTATAGGTTTGTGTTTTCTCTCTCTCGGCAACAGCCTTTGGACCAAGGAGCTGTTCACATTTATAGAAAATCATGCTAAGTACCTTTATCTGGGTATTTCAATTCCTTGTGTCAATCGGATTATTTTTCAACTATAATAATAATAATAACCCTAACATTTGATACTGGGAGAATGTGTTAAAGTTCAGTTCTTTTTTGAATGTGCACACATTTACCGCCCCAACTGTTGACTGGCAGAGAATTCCACATTCCCACCGCTCTCTGTGTGAAAAGGTCATCATGCACACTCGGACTCTTACTGTCATCTGTGCAGTTAAGCTCCATCTAACTCCAGTGGCTTGCTTGGTTGATGTGTTTGCTTCCCAGCACTATGATTGCTTCTTTAACTTTTATTGATACTTAATATTTCAATCTGCCTTCATCTGTCCCGTTTACACAAGCATATCTCACCTGAACAGTAGTGATTACAGCCACAAGAGATCCTGAAAATTCTTTGCTTTTCCTTTTGCCCACAAAATATACAATCAATTCACTTTACAGTATATTCTGTGAAGCGCTTTGAGATGACTCGAAGATGTGATAAGGCGCTATATCAAATGCAAGGATTATTGTTAAAAGAGCATTGTGAGCTGGTAACAGCGTGGCTGGGATAGAACAACAATAATTTTTAAAATCGGGTACAGTTTTGGTGGAAAATGGTCATCAATCATAATTTAAGAAAGGCTGGGTTAAGTGGTCTGAATTACTGTGCTTGGTATTTGCCATTAATTAAAAGTAGTAAAACAGTTTTTTTTTAATGTTTGCAGGTTAAGAGCATTGGAAATGAGAAAAAACTCAATCTGCAAGATTGAAATCAGCTTTATTTTCCTACCCTAGATGTTAATAAAGAAATATATGGTTTAATCTAGTTAATGCTTTTGAGCATTGATCCAGTTTATTTTAAATTTCATCATATGTGATGTTGGATTAACCATACACAGTGGATTTATGGTCATGCGATTCACTCCTATTAATTGTATAACAAAATTGTGAAAACATCAGTATATTTTTTATGAGGAACATATACCACACAAAGCATTCTGTAGGAAAATAGTGCTATATTAACCTTAATAGAGCTATCAAGTCACCTATCTCACTATCTCACACTTGGTTCTATACACTGATATAATTGATAGAAGCTTCATTCATTGTTGAAGGAGTTATAGAAGAAAAATGTATAAAAAATGGCTGTTGTTCGTATTCGCTTAACGTTCTATAGATGTGAAAGTATTTTGGGTTCTGAAAACGTGTACACTTAAACAGTATTCACACATGAAGTACATAGCAATGAGCCCAGTTTTCACAATAGTCAGTTACATATATACACTGCCTTGAACCCAAACACATATGCGTGCAAGTAAGGTGGTTTAATAGTATCCTGTATTGTTTAGAGAGAATTGTATTTGGACAGTCAATGTCAGGAATCCAGTAGGTTGCAGAATCAAAAATAAGTGGTTTCCAAAGGTGTTGATTTCCGTACAGCAGGTGTTTTGTGTTAAGTTGTGTGATCAGCTGCTTTGCGTTCGACTTACTTTGTGCACTTATAAAGCATAGAAATAATAACATTCTCTGCCCACGGCAGGTCTTAACTTTTACTGTTTCCTGCCTTTTACAACAGAGGCCAAAAGTTTAAAACGTTCAGTTTAGTTCTGATATCACCACCTTTGTTCACGTATTATTTTTGATTACTTTGTGTTAAGACCTGGATTTATTGCTTCTTTTTATTTTTATTCTTTATATGCAAAAGATTGAATCAAAAATTGGTTTGTATGAAGGGACAGTAAACTGGTGGTGACGCATCCAAGGTATGTACAGAACTTTGTGTCTGTGTTGATGACTGACAGGATTTCTGTTGAGTTTCGTACCATAGGGTGTGAACTCGTTGACTGACTGCTTTAAAGCTTTGAGAGGAAAACCTTTAATCTTTTGCCAATTCCTTTCTGAATAGCAAGTCAAAGCATCTTTAAATCCATCTGTGGAATATGTTTGCAATTGCCTTTCTGAATTGAAGTTTTCAACTCTTTTAACCCCTTGAATGCTATTGACCCTTTCATACTGCTTTTTTTTTGGTTAGCAGAGCGATTCAAAAGGGGGCAAACAGTAGAGAGAGAAAAATGACAAAAATAGAAAATCCCTGAATAACGCAGTATTTTACAGTAATGCATAGTATGTATTGGTGTATTTTCTATTTAATTGAACCTCTGCCGCTCTGAAACCACCAACTTTTGCTGAGAGCACAGATCCTCGGGTGTTGGCAAACCCTGGTATTTTGCACAAGCAGCCGTTATTCCCGCTGAGCCTGCACAGCGACTGCCAACAGGCTGTTTGTTTACCCTGGAGGGCATTATTACAATACTGAGATTCAGTTGAGAATTAAATTGACCATCTATTTCCAATGCCCTGCCCTTTCGCCACACTCATTTAACACTTCCACTCACCCAGTTTCGGTCTGACTCTCATTTGAACACCCTGGGACTCTGCTTCTAGTTTCTGGTGCTGAGTGTTCCACATCTTCACAACGCTCTGTGTGAGGAATCTCAGCTCTAACTCCTTAGTCCTGTATCACCCTCTTGTCTCTGCTTGTCCAGCGCAGTGGGGTGGGGGAACCTCAGCAATGATGGACTGTCACCTGACTGATCAACGGTAACATCTAGCCTGCCAGGCAGCAGAAAAATAATACGTTCTCCAGATATGCAACACATGAGCTCTGCCAATTTCAAACTGTACGGGCTTCAACAATGTTCACAAGATCACAGATTGGCTTGGATGAAGAAGGCCCTTCGGCTCATTTTACCAACCTTGCTGGCTGCCACCTGTATTGATTGTGAATTAAATAATAATTTTAAATTGATGAAATCTAACTGCCGGTTACACTGAAATATTGATAAGTTTATATTGTTTGCTTTCTATTGCAATATAGGTTAATAAAGGACATTACAGAACAACAACAAAGAGCAGCCCTGCCCCTGACACTGGCAGACTGGCATTTAGCTGACTAGGAACTGATCCTTCAATGATTTGTTTAGGATTCTATTATCAAATTCGGCACTCTGCTTTAATTGAGGCTCTTAGTAATGAGCACCATCTATCAGAGATAATGGTAGGAATTAACTCGAAAACAGCGTTGTCAGAAGCTGGACAGATTGTTTTTGAAATTTGTGGAAATGTTTAATTTCCATAAGCCCAAAGGGTTTGTAGTCGTCAGTTATTGGAAAGCAACTTTTAATATTGCTTGTCCCCATTTTGCTATTAATAATTTTGTAGGATCTATTTCTAATACATTTTAAAAGCCTTGTTGGCCTTTAATAAAAATTAAATGTAAACTACTTCAAAAAAATAAGTAATTTGGTACTCTCATCTCTCTGCCCTAGATGACCATTTCTATCAAATTACTAAAGCATGAACAGGTGTATTTCAGCAAATTTGAAACACTTCCTGTCAATTTTTGTTTGGGAGAAGAGATAGAAGAGGTGGATTAATGCCAGTCGATATAGTATGCCTGCCTTTCAATTCCATTTTTTTCTCTCTTGATGTATGTTTCTTGATTGCTGTGTTTGGCCTGTGCATCCTGTCTACAAGTTACTGGCCAAATGGAGGTACAGACAGTGAGTGTCTCAAATTGTGCAGCATAAAAGTGCTTTGGCTACATCAGAATACTGCATGCAGTTGTGGAATGAGCAAAGATTAGACAAGCTTCAGTCTTGAGAGAAGATGACTCAAAGGGGACCTAAGTGGACCTAATTGAGGTGTATTTCGACCACCAAATATACAGTCAATTCACTTTCCGGTATATTCTGTGAAGCGCTTTGAGACATCTTGAAGACGTGATAAGTCGCTATATCAAATGCAAGGATTATTATTATTATTATAACATTTTAAATGAGATTGAAAAAGTAAACCGAGTTAGCTGAGTGGAGGGGACGAGTGGTAGAGTAGGATGACAGGAGGGTGGAGAGATAAGGGAGTATAAGGGAGTTGATGGGTTTGTAAGTGAAGAAACCCATTACCATGCTTAACTAAATCCAAAACAAACTGAGAACTCCATGGATCCCACCTATACTTGGAAATTCCTGCGATATTTAATGGAATGCACAGTCTCTCTACTCTGGAGAGTATTAGGAGGGTAATTAATAATTCTTGAGGGATGAGATCAGAAGGTCGGAAGTGTTTCTTCATCCAAACTAATAAATAAATAATAAATAATCCTTGCATTTGATCTAGCGCTTTTCACATCTTCTCGACGTCTCAAAGCGCTTCACAGAATAATAGACTGTAAAGTCAATTGACCGTATATTTGTGGGCAAAACGCGGAAACCAATTGCACACAGCAGCATCCCACAAACAGTCGTGGATTGAAAATGACCAATTTATTAATGTTTTGTTTTGGAGGGATTATTATTAGGTGTGTGGAGTAAGGAAACTTGCCCAAGGTTTCACCCTGCCTGGAATTGAACCCAGGTGTCTCGCTTGCAAGGCGCGTGCTCTAACCACTGAGCTATAGGACTCCACAAACTTGCAATTCTCCAGCGAAACAGCACTGAAATGCATCAACTAACATTCATAGAGCACTCTTCGCGTAAGATAGCGTCTCGGAGTGCTGAAGAACAACCTGAATGTGGTTGCCAAAGCTTTGAATTGACTTTAGTCTTTCCTCTTGTCTAGAGAGAGGTTTTTTTTGAGATCTTGAGATCTTTGAATTGTCTTCCTTGCCTTTTCCCACTCCATCCCCAGTTTTTTTCCGTTTTGTAATGGAGTTGTACTGAAGTTGAATGCTTTTGTTATTGATCATCTGGGCGTTTTTCATTCTTTGTCCGCATTTCACAATAGATGAAATACCCATCACTTGCCTCTTTGTGAAGAAATCATCTTTAGCTTTTTCTTAATGTCTTCTTTTCTCTGCTTTCCTCTATTTTATGAAAGATTTCAAAGCTCATTTACATCTTTTTCTTTGAGTTGCTCTAGATAGCCAGCATTTTCTGTTTTGAGTTTAGATCCCAGTAAAACTCCTTCTTGTTCTCTGCCTTCCATAATAAATGAACGTAGTGTATGCTTGAATTCACTGACCTCAAACAGTTAAACAAGAATCGTTTTAGCAAATTCCTCATATTGATTCTCATACTTTTATCACTGAATTAATTCCTATTTTATGTGTTAATATTGCGCAGTATTCTCATTAATTCTGTCCCTTGGACTCCTACCAAATATTTGGAAAAACAACTTCCAAACGTGACAGCTTTTTATTGGTGGTATTTTAATGAACGCTCACGTTTGGTTCTGACGTTTTCTTTGCATTTCATTTGATGTGGGACTTAACAACAAGAATAGCACATTTATATAGCCCCCTTCATGTTGGCTTGCATCTCAGAGCACTTTACTGGGCTGTAGGGATCAGATGCTGAGCAGCGGGAGGGGGAGGTGACTATAGACTCAATTGGAGTCCTGTAGCTCAGTGGTTAGAGCACTCGCTTTGCAAGTGAAAGATCTGAGTTCAATTCCAGGCAGGGCGAAACCTTGGGCAAGTTTCCTTACTCCACACAGAGCCTAATAATAATCCCTCCAATAATAATCACTCCAAAAAAACAAAAACAATAATAAATTGGTCATTTTCAATCTACGACTGTTTGTGGGACATTGCTGTGCGCAATTGGCTGCCGAGTTCGCCCACAAATATACAGTCAATTCACTTTACAGTGTGTTCTGTGAAGCGCTTTGGGACGTTCTCCCGACGTGAAAAGCGCTGTATCAAATGCAAGGATTATTATTATTATAAAGTATTTTTTTAAGGTGAGATTTGAAGACTGATGTATATGGA